TCCACTGTCGGGCACTCCTTGGTTTTTCAGCTTTTAATACTCTCTTTTCAAGGATGTGCGTAAGGCACCCTTGAAGGAGAAAACCGGCTGCGTGTGTGGAAACTATTTTAAATAAATACATGTAAATTAACGCTGTCGCCGAGCGCAGCCCTCTCCCGAGGCTGCCTCAGATAAAGGCCCAATGGCGCGCCTCACAGCGGGCGGCCCCCCAACCTCCACCCCGCCCGGCTGGGCCTCCTCCGTCCCTCCTCCTCCTCCTCCATCACGTGGCGAGGTAACCCCGGGCATCTCCCTCAGTCTCGAGCCGCGCCTCCTGGTTGCGCACGGAGGGGCAGCCGTTGGACGGCGTGGTTTGGGGCCGGGGGCTTGGACTCCCGGTGGCCGCAGCATCTCTCTCTTTCCCCCCGCCCGCCCCACTGCACTCCCCCAGGCTGGGTAACCCCGGGCATCTCCCTCAGTCTCGAGCCGCGCCTCCTGGTTGCGCACGGAGGGGCAGCCGTTGGACGGCGTGGTTTGGGGCCGGGGGCTTGGACTCCCGGTGGCCGCCGCACCTCTCTCTTTCCCCCCGCCCGCCCCACTGCACTCGCCCAGTCTGGCTGGCGTCTTTCACCACCCTCCACACACACACACACGCACACACTTCCCGCCGCCAAGCCTTCTCCAGCTTCAGGAAGCTCCTTGTGCGGCACTTGGCGCGCGAGGCGACCATGAAACCCGTGCTGGTGGCCGCGCTGGTCCCGCTCTGCCTTTGCCTGCACTTGGGTAAGTAAGGCGTGCAAACCTCATCCTCCAGCGCCGCCCCAACCCCGCCAAAGCCAACCGAAACCGTCCCTTCTTCTACGGCCCGGGTCGTCTTCTCCCCTCACTCGCTCCCCTTAGCCAACCGGCGACTCTGCTTCGGTGGCCGCTTAGACGGATCGGAGGCGACGCTTCGTGGCGGGGAAAAATACGAATATTCTTTTAAAATGTTTTTAAAAGAATCCCGTAAAAGCACCGCTCTGTCGCTTGGGGTGCGCACGATCGTGAGCCGGAGGCGTCGCTGGGCGGTAGAGCACATGGTTTGTAGTCAGGCAAACCTTGGGAAAGTTTCCTCTTTGGGGTTACATCCCCCAGAACGATCTAGCCAAAGTAGGCATTGGCTACGAAAGACTGCGGTAAGGATTCCGAGCCTGGCCCTGGCTGATTGACAGAGCTTTAAGAAATCAGAATTTATTAACATTATGGACATTCTTATTATGCAGATTGTTGTTGTTGTTTAGTCGTTAAGTCATGGCCCTCGTGACCCCATGGACCAGAGCATACCAGGCCCTCCTGTCTTCTACTGCCTCCCGGAGTTGGGTCAAATTCATTTTGGTAGCTTCGATGACACTGTCCAAACATCTCGTCTTCTGTTGTCCCCTTCTCCTCTTGCCCTCACACTTTCCCAACATCAGGGTCTTTTCCAGGGAATCTTCTCTTCTCATGAGATGGCCAAAGTATTGGAGCCTCAGCTTCAGGATCTGTCCTTCCAGTGAGCACTCAGGGTTGATTTCAGAATTTATAAGTTTGTTCTCCTTGCAGTCAAGGGGACTCTCAAGAGTCTCCTCCAGCACCACAATTCAAAAGCATCAATTCTTCGGCGGTCAGCCTTCTTTATGGTCCAGCTCTCACTTCCATATATCACTACTGGAAAAACCATAGCTTTGACTATGCAGACCTTTGTTGGCAAGGGAATGTCTCTGCTTTTTATGATGCTGTCTTGGTTTGTCATCACTTTCCTCCCAAGAAGCAGGCGTCTTTTTTAATTTCGTGGCTGCTGTCACCATCTGCAGTGATCATGGAGCCCAAGAAAGCAAAATCTGTCACTGCCTCCATATCTTCCCTTTCTATTTGCCAGGAGGTGATGGGACCAGTGGCCATGATCCGAGTTTTTTTATGTTGAGCTTCAGACCATTTTTTTGCCTTTTTCTCTTTCACCCTCATTAAGAGATTCTTTAATTCCTCCTCACTTTCTGCGCTTGTGCAGATAAGATACCTTAATAGTAATGTAATTATGCAGTTTTTAGATTAGTCAGGTTCTGGAAGGTGAAGTTTTCAGAAGTAACTTTTCCAAACTACATTTCAATAAAGGGAGAGTAACCTGGAAGCGTTTCAGAATTTCGGCTCCCATAATGTGTTGCAAATGGTCATGCTGGATGTAGCAACTTATCTGGTGAGCTAAAGGTTTCAGCTCCTAATGGGAGTGGGTCCTGAGTTTAATTTCAAAGCAGCTATCCATATAAATAATGGGGATAACAGGGCTGGAAGCTCTGCTGGAGAAATCATGAGAAGGTTGCTACTGGAAGATGGAATCAGGTGCGGATCTGAGAATTTTGGAGCTGGAAGGGAGCCTATAGATCATCAGGTCCCTATCAAGGAGGTATAGTGGGGAATCGAACTCCCAACCTCTGGCTCCACAGCCAGAGACCTAAACCACTGAGCTATCCAGCAGTCAAGCCTTTGCTTAATTTTCTGTACTCTATGGGAAGGTGCATGAGATTGCAGGTGTCTATTATTTAAAATCAAAGTGTGGAAATGTTACAGGATTTTGTAATAATCTTAGTACTGCAGAGCAGGAAGGGACCCTGTGGATCATCGCGTCCAGCCCCTTTCAAGGAGAACTGGTGTGGATTTGAACCTTTGGCTCTGTAGCCAGATGCCTAAACCACTGAGCCATCCAGCAGTTTGTTTTTGTTTTGGATTGACTCCCAGAATCCCCTCGTCATCCTGGACATAGTGACTGAAGGATTCTCAAGAGTTGTGAAGTTAAAAACACTAGTATTTTGAGCTCTGTTTAAAATATACTGTAATAACTCTTCTCTCTTTTTTTTCCTGATGTATTCACATAGAAGTGCTGTTGCATATGTAACAGCCGCACCCCACGCTATTTCAGTGAATTTGAAGGGAATCCTGAAGTTTACAAAAGTATCGAAAATTTTTAAAAAGGAGGAAGAAAAGTAAGGTGAAGGAATATCCCAAGCCTATGTTAACATCCCTAGTTAACTTGAGCGTGTTAACTAGGGATGGGGAGGCTTACTCCCTGTTGGACAGAAGAACTGAAAGCTTTGTGGGAGGAGAAATGGAAATGAAGTTTTGAAGGAAGGGCATGGCTGGCTAATTGACAGGAACAGTGAACAGGAGTAGCCCATTTTGCAACATTTGGTTTAGAAGCTGCCTGGTCTTAGAACTGGTCAGGTTTCTTGACCTGATAGCATTTCTGCCACAGCCAAAAGAGCATCCTATTAACATAGCTTTCCAGCCACACAACAAACTGCTATTTTGTTGCTGTTACAAAACAAAGTTTAAAGTGGATTTGAGGTCACTGAACTTTATTCTTTGCCAGGGTATCTGCGTGGCAAATTGACGAATTATATTTCAAGTCATAAACAGTGCGGCCTCTTTTTTTGAAAAGGCACTAAAACAGAAATACGGGAGTATTATGATCTGGTGCCGCTGAGCCTCTTGAGATGAGGACGTGAAGCGGCAACCTCAGTGAGAAATCTCTGTAGAGCCAAAACAAAGGCCAGACTGGGTAAACAAAGCTTGTCACATTGAGAGAAAACATTGCCTTAGGAGTAAATTCCATTGATTCCCAGGGAACTTTGTTCTGAGTAAGCCTGCAAATCATAAACGCATTTGCTGAGAAATAAGTACCATCAAAATCAACCTTGTTCCTTGTCTGATTAAGGAAGCCTTCCCCAACTCATAGGTTTTCCAGATACGTTATACCAAAATCTCCATCATTCTGAGTTAGTAGACTCAAGTGGACAGGTTGGGGGAGGTTAGTGGAGGACATTCCAATCAGAAAAGTCACAGGAATGGTATCTAGACCATTGGTTCCCAACCTTTGGTCCCCAGGTGTTCTTGGACTGCAACTCCCAGAAATCCTGAACAGCACCAGTGGTCAAGGCTTCTGGGAGTTTTAGTTGAAGAACATCTGGCGACCCAAGATTGAGAACCATTGGTCTAGACTAGAGAAGAGCAACTGTCAGCCTACAGACTGAGTTCCACCACAACTTAATAGAGGAGAAGGAAGCAAATGTATAGAAGGAAGAGGGGGGAAGAGTCTGTGCACATTCATCTACACATGTGCAATTCAGTGCATGTCTAATCAGGAATATGTCTCTAGTGGGGTTTACCTAGGTAGGTATGAAAAATTACAGTATAAATCTTAGTTTTATTAGGAAATTCAAGGAGTTTCTGGCTGGGTTTGCACATGACAGTAAGTTAAGTTGTAATTTGTTGAATTTTGATTTGTTCTATCTGAATCTGACTAAAAAACAAACAATGATTTGTTAGCCAGTTGTGGTGGCGCTGCGGCTAAACCGCAGAAGCCTTTGTGTGCTGCAGGTTCAGAAGACCAGCAGTCATAAGATCGAATCCACGTGACAGAGTGAGCTCCCGTTGCTTTGTCCCAGCTCCTCGCCAACCTAGCAGTTCGAAAGCATGCAAATGCGAGTAAATAAATAGGTACCATCTCAGTGGGAAGGTAAAACGGCGTTCCCTAGTTACGCTGGCCATGTGACAACGGAAACTGTCTTCGGACAAGCGCTGGCTCTACGGCTTGAAAAACAGGATTAGCACCGCCCCCTGGAGTCGGACGCAACTGGACTAAAAATGTCAAGGAGAACCTTTATCTTTACCTTACACTAACCACAGTTAAGAACCATGGTTTGCCACTGGCTTATGAATTTAAACCATAATTTAAATGATTTAACCAATAGTTGGCTTTTTCATCTGAACACAGAACTGTGGCTTTCCCCTCACTTCCCCCCCCCCGGCTGAAGAATCTAGCAAAAGGGGTGGGAGAGAAAAAGACTGGAAATTTGAATGTTTTATTTATTTTATTTATTATTTATTTACAAAATGTTAACCCCACCTTTTTTCATAAAAGGATTCAAGGTGGTCTGGCATGAAATGAAAACTCCTGATTTGAGCAACATGTAGTTGATATAAACAATGACTTTGCATGAAGTGGGCATACAGCTTGGGTACTCTTGTCCGCAGTTGTTTTCTGGGAAGGCAGAGGACTATTGGCTCATCAACTAGTTGAATGGAACTTCCATTAAATTGCACATCGTTGACCCTCTGCATACCACCTGATTGCTTCATACCTTAGTGTAGGGAGTGATCAGAGTGTGACCGACTGGATGTTGTTGGACTCGAACACTCATTAGTCTCAGTGGACATAAGAAGTAGTGAGGAATCCCAGAAGGTGCTGTCCAATAACTTTTGGATACTGTACAGTGGTGCCTCGCTTAACGAAGTAGTGAGGCAGAAGGTGCTGTCCAATGACTTTTGGATATTGTACAGTGGTGCCTCGCTTAATGATGATAATCCGTTCCAGGAAAATCGCCGTTAAGCGAAAACAACGTAAAGCGAAATTAAAAACACCATTGAAACGCATTGAAACCAATGTGGTAAAAACTCACTGTCCAGCAAAGATCCTTCATATGGCGGCCATTTTCGCTGCCTGTATAGCAAGGAATCTGTGACTTTTGGATATTGTACAGTGGTGCCTCGCTTAATGATGATAATCCGTTCCAGGAAAATCGCCGTTAAGCGAAAACAACGTAAAGCGAAATTAAAAACACCATTGAAACGCATTGAAACCAATGTGGTAAAAACTCACTGTCCAGCAAAGATCCTTCATATGGCGGCCATTTTCGCTGCCTGTATAGCAAGGAATCTGTCCCTAAACACAGCGGGGAGCCATTTTAATTACCAGTAGCCATTTTGAAACC